TTTAGATAATTTGTACATTGTTGGCTAACCCATGACATTTCAGAGCATAAAATAACTGGAAGCTGATTACTCAGCAGAGTTTATCTGTCAGAATCTAAAGCACAATTACAATTGGCATAAGGCAACAAAGCAATCCAACAAGATTTCTTATTTCAATGTCCTTACTTAGCAAATTCTCTGAATTCCATTAGCCACTGGCTTAAAATCAAAACAATTGTAGAGTCATACAAGACTTTCATTCCTGAATTTGGCTCTTTCCAATCAATTCTAGATATTTCTAAGCATGGCCAAATTTAGGGATAGTCCATCCAGGTGACCAATCATGGCAATGTATTCAGCGTATGCATTGCGAGCTCTTGATTGCAAGTGGTAGGATTCTTCCAGTTTCCCTACCAGTTCGGTGATTGCACACTTCACATGTGCACACACCTAATGCATGTGTGCAAGCAACTTTCCAAACACCACCTCAGGCTTTGCTGTGCCAATCAGCTGAGAGGATAAAGAACATAAAAGCACAGGGGAAGGTGGGAGGACCAATCTTGTGCTTTTCTTTTCTTTCTCCTCTCAGCTGATTGTCAGAGCTTTTTTTACTACCGGTTCTGTCTGAACCAGGCCAAACAGGTGGCATTTCACCATTGCTCTTGACCCAGCCATTCTAGGTCAAGAGCAGATAATCCCAACTGGACAACAAATTTATCTTTGTTTGTTAAGCTGCTAATAGTGGCTGCCCCGATTCTGCATTTGCACCTTTTGCTATTACTAATATTGCTAGTATTATTATTATTACTCAAACAGCAATACTGTATTGTTTACATGAATATAAAATAATGTATAAATAATTCTTGCGTAGTCAAAAACATATTGATTAACATACATCCTGGTGTCTTATATATTATTCTCTCATCACACCTCATGCTGAATGTCATAGGATTTTTCCCATAGGTAGCTTTTATCAGCAGGCAACAAAATTCATGTGCACTAATACTGGATGGCATGAGTTTTGTCTAGTCTGCAAAGGGCCAGAATATCCTTAAACAGTATTTGCATTTTTCTGATACACAGATTAGCATTGTGATTTGATGTATACAACCCAATGCGTCATTCTAAAATCCAGAAATAATTCCTTTGTGCAAGTAAAAAAAGGGGATTTAAGACAACGAGGCTACAGAAAAAGGCATCAGAGTTAATCTTCATATTATAAACATGATATAAAGAAGTGAAATCAATTTTTCTAGGTTAGGCATTTCCACCTTGGATAAATGGAAAAGGTGAAGCATTACCCAATTTGTCAGGCCATATTTAAGCAGAAGACCTTGAATGCCACACAGATAAGATGTCATAAAACGGTGATTCTAAAAATTATGAAAACAGAAGCAACTGAAAGGAGTTAAAGATGACTAAAAGACACATTGACTACAATGTTACATACCTAATGAATAGTTTAAGACAGTTGCCTTTGATTTAGTTGTCTCCAGATTCATTAAATTACAACTCCCATTATCACAGACAATAAAATTTTGGGGCTATCTTGGCTTGAAATGATGAGTTTAGTGCAGAGGCACCAAGTTGGAAAATATCCCATTAAAAGAATATGTAAGCAAAAGTGCACAAAGATGAGAAATGACATTTGTGGAAAGTGTATCCAATACAATGTTCATTATGCATGACACCTTTCCTAGTATCAGTGGAATGCTAAGTGGTGCTGACAACTCAAAATTGTGAATGAGAGCAAAATGCAGCCTAAGCCAAAATATCATGACCTAGAAAAGCAACCTAGCTGGACCATTTGAAGCAACCACTGGACACTTTAGATGAACATCATTTATTCCTTTATTTATAGTACCCCTTTTATTTCATGAAAGCACAGACATCTCCACTGAAAAGAAGGGGAGGCCTAAAACAGATCTCTAAAGTGCAGCTGTTGACATTATTCAAGGAGATGTAATAGCTTTGGGCAGATTTCAACAAATCACCTTCACAGTTCTCCTGAGTCATTCTCCCACTAAATATTAGCTACTTGACTCAAGCCCAGTTCTGTCTCTTGAGTTAGCAGGCTTATTGCAATAATCATGGCTCTTATACTTGATATTGAAGTACGGCATTATTGTTACTGATGAAGTTACTGACTTTAGTGAACTTTCAGTAAATTCAGAAAAAAAAATCCTTTTGTTAACTTCCTTCTTGCACACCACTTATTTGTATATCAAAGGTTTGAAAGAAGGTGAGATTATTTTCCACTTTAATTTGGAATACTGCCAAGACATCTCAGAGGAAATTCTTATTCTCTACAGGTAACCAAACAAGAGGCATTTTAGAAAGACTTAGCCACCATCTGGAACAAGGTCAGAGATTATGCAAAGCTTTAGCATGGTCAGAAAGGGTTTTCCTTACTCTTTGACTATTCATTTCTGAAAAGTGGCTATTTTCTTGTTTCACATCTTAGATAACTAGATGGCTAAAACATATGAGGAGTAGCTTTTGCACATGTATTTTTTTAAAGGAGGAATGACATAACTAAAGAAACCAATTGAACTGTCCTTCAGAAGTGGGATTAATTTGCATGAAAACATTTTAAATTATGTAGATATTAAGGGAATTTAATAATCAAATGTAGGAAAACAAAGCTGAGGCTTGACAGATCCTTTTTACCAAAGCATTCACAGATTACATTAATAATATATGTTATTACATTAATAATACATGTCATGCACTGCTTGAAATCTAACATACAATGAAAAGCAGACATTAACTCAGTTGGAATCACACTGACATCATGATGGTGCCAGAAGACAAAGGCAATAGTTTGGTAGCCATGGTCACAATAGCTGCCAAAAATAAATATAAGGGATATGTAAATGGAATTGTATTCAGAACAAATCTGACATAAAACAGCTCTTGTGAAAACAATATTCAGAGATAAGTCAATATCAACTGAGATACTGTTTATAGCAAATAAATTTTAAGAAGTATCTATATTTGCAAACTGACAACCTGAAAGAACTCTTATGGCATTTCTGGATCCCTTCATAAGTGGATTACTGCATTCCTGTCAAACAGGCAACAAATAGTAAAAATAGGGAGTGCTATATCAAACCCTGCTCCAGTTTACAGTGGTGTCCCCTAAGACAGCGTTCTAGGATCCACTCTATATAAATGGCCTTTGCAATCACCTTATAAGCAACTGCATCCTCTTTGCGGATGATGTAAAACTATTCAAAACCACCGAGAATGCTACTGTTCTTCAAAGTGACCTTGATTATGTGTCTGAATGGTCAAACATTTGGCAACTTCAAATCTCGACCACAAATGTTCTGTCCTACACATTGGTAAAAAAAGTCAGTACACCAAATACAAGCTTGGCGGATATGACCTCATTGATGACCCTTACTCTGTCAAGGACCTCGAAATATTCCTATCTAATAATATATCTAGAACTCATTGTAACAGCATTGCCAAAAAGGGTTTAGGAGTTGTAAATCTAATCTTATGAAGTTTCACGTCTGGAAATATTGAACTGCTAACTAGGGCATACAAAACCTTTGCTAGACCAATACTTGAACACAGCTCATCAGTCTGGAATCTGCACTGTATATCAGACATGAATCCAATTGAGCGAGTTCAGAAGAATTTCACTAGAAGAGTACTATACTCCTCTGCTCACAACAGAATACCCTATATCACCAGGCTTGAAATTTTGGGCTTGGCAATCTTGAACTAGGTCACCTACAGTTGGACTTAAGCATAGTACACAAAATTATCTGCTACAATGTCCTACCAGTCAATGACTACTTCAGCTAAAGCCGCAACAATACAAGAGCACACAACAGATACAAACTCAATGTTAACCGCTCCAAAGTTGATTGCAGAAAGTACAACTTCGGCAACAGAGTGGTGAATGCCTGGAATACACTACCTGACTCTGTTGTTACATCCTCAAACCCCCACTCTTTTAACCTCAAACTATCCACAATTGACCACACCCCATTCCTAAGAGGTCTGTAAGGGGTGTGCATAAGTGCACCATCGTGCCTCCCATCCCTGTCCTATTGTCCCCATTTATTCATATCTATTTCCTGTATTCTTACTCATGTTTATACTTATACCTATTATCTTGTAAGTGATTGACAAATCAAATAAATAAATCAATAAAAATATACTGTCAGACCGGTCATTTTCTATACTTGAATATCTCAACACTGTAGAAATGGTTCATCGAAAACAGAAAAGGAAAAAAAATGGAGTATTTTTTGTCCCAGTAATGCTTTTGTGTTTCAAAGTATCAAGCTTACTGAAAATTATTTCATCTTCAAAATGTGTATCTCCTGCTTCCATAAAATGATTGGTTGTCAAGCCTTAATGACACACTTATCCAAGTGGCTCTTAGTCAACTGCATTTTGCTGTTAGGAATGCTTTCTGCTTTCTCTCAGCTGAAGAAACCAAGAATGAGGATCTACCCAGATTTTGTGGTCTACTTTTGACATAGATATGTCAGCACTCACTCTTGGCACCACACTACTTCTTATATCAGAAAACATATGACTCCATCTAGGTATTTGAGCCAGTAGATACTTTGGAGATGGATTTGTTAAACTTATTTAAACTGCTTTCTTCATCAAAATAACGTTGGCTGTTCATTATAATTTTCATTTTGTAAAACACAAACAGAAAGACAAACCAAACCAATTTGTAAACTACAATTGACAACAATTGTAAACTATAATAGGAAATGAAAGAGATTCTGTCTCCTAACTATATGTATCTTCAGTAATGCTAGCTTTGGAGAGAGAAAGTTTGCTTGGGGAAAGTTTCCAATGCCAAAATAAAGAGACATTTTTTAGACCTCTCTTTCCTGTAGATGGTGAAAGTCCACTAAAGGGCCCTGCCTTTAAAGACAAATTTTCTCTGCCTGACTGCTTTGCATCTCTCACTGGTGATGCTTCTATGCACATCATACCCCAAGCCCTGGTAGTAAAGTACATTTACAAAATCAACAACTCACGATTAAGGGGTCATCTCTTCCCATTCTAATGACAGTCTTGTTAATGGTGCGCAGCAACTGGACCATTATTTCTTGTGTATGCTGATAGGTTGATGCCTGCAAAAAAATAATCCTTTTCAAGATAATAAAGAATAATCTACAAATAAAATAAATGTGTAGACTTAATCCATATCATATGAACATAATATTTAGCAGCATGGAAAAAACTAATCATACACACACTGCTACCTTATATAGTAATGCAATTTGACACTTAAGAAGATTCATGCTCACCTTGTTCAAAAGCATGTTCAACATAATCATGTCCTTGACATATTCTCCATTCAAGGAGGAATTTTTTCTTTGTTTATTTGTTTTAGATTTTCTTCTCATAGTGAAATAGTCAAAGATGCAACACATGTTGCCATATCATCTGCATCAGCTCCACACAGTCCAAGTACAATATAAACCCATGCTGGAAGTGACACGCAGAGCCATTTCTGCCGGCATGCAAGCTGTCGCCTGGAACTGATCTACTGCACATGCGCGCGTGCTTCCCGCCAGCCAGCTGATTGTTAGGTATCTGCCGTGCATGCGCAGGGGGCAGGGCACATGCAGGAGGTCATATGTGCATATGCTGAGACATGCAGTATGCACAGAGGGGTCACGTGTGCATGTGCAGGGGGCAGAGGGTCGCACGTGCATTGCATTATGGGTGCAGGCACTCATGTGCGCGTGTGCTCGCACAAGCACTTTTGGCACGCGATGATGAAAAAGTTAGACATCACTTATATATACTATTGAATATCTGCAATAGTCAAACCCACAGAATTATTCCCAAAGGTGCTTTTTCAAGACACAACTGGAATTTTTTGCTTTTCTTCTAAGATGTTTCAATTCTCATTCAAGAAGCTTCTTCAGCTCTGACTGGATGGTGGGGAATGGGAGGATTTATATTCCTTACAGACAGCTGGTTATATGCATTCTTTTAGAGAGTTGTTAAGGCCACTGGGAAGCTTATCTGTGCCCTCAGTAATTCAGGTCACCCATTTGCAAGGTCAATCAATTGCATTACTCAGGTGACCCTGAGGACACAGACAAATCATTCAGGGTTGATACAGTCATTCATTCATTCATTCATTCATTCATTCATTCATTCATTCATTCA